AATGTTGGAGGTCATCAGGGCCAGCCGTTCGTGCCCGCGCGTTGCCCGGGAGGGCGCCGGGTCGTCCAGGGTTGGTGCCTCTGCCCCTCGGGTGAACGGCAGCGGGGGCCGAAGAAGAAAACATCAGCATAAACGAAAGCTTTTGGCGCTCCGCGCGGATTTCTTGGATCCGCGCTGGGCCCCCTGGGCGGCGCCTCAGGCGCCGAACCTGGCGCTCTCCGCGCGCCAGGGGGGGGAGTCCAGCGCAGATCCAAGAAATCCGCGCGGAGCGCCGAAAGTTTCTGTTTAAGGCGTGTTTTCTTTTTCTAGGGGGGGCAATACCCTGACCTTCCGCAGCGCCCAAAAATAGCCTCAGGATTTTGACGCCCAAATAGTTGTGTCGAGGTTTGATGCAGTCCAGGTAGGTCTATAGTCTATAGGTCTGGAGGGCTATTTTTCAGCACCCTGGAGAGTCAGGGTAGACGTGGGCGGACTGAGGACTGCAGGAAAATGGCCCGAAGGGGGCCCCGGACCTTCCGCAGTTCCAGAACAAATAGCCTCAGGACTTTGACGCCCAAATTCCTGTCGAGGTTGAGGCAGTCCAGATACATAGGTCTATAGGTCTGGAAAGCTATGTTTGAGCACCCTGGGGGTCAGGGTAGACGTGGGCGGACTGATGAATGCAGGAAAGTGCCCCGAAGGGGGCCCTGGGCGGCCCCTAAGCTGCCATCGTGGGGCCAACGGTGCACGAAAGGCGCGCAGAAGGTGCATGGAAGGTGCACGAGAGGCGATGGAGAGGGAGGGCGCCAGATCGTCCAGTGCCGATGCTTCCTCCTCCCCTCGAGGGCCTCCCGGGATCCGGCTTTTGCAGTCTCTTCAAGCCAGGCGTTTTCGCCTCGGTTCGGACCCCGGGACCATCATGTATCAATCCAGCTCGAAAAGTGCCGCGGAACGATGGGGTCCAGAGTTCTCGTCTCTGATTTGTTGCGATGTGATCGGCGTCACCCTAACATACTTATACATGTGCGTCGCCCCCCCGGAGGCGACGCGCGCACCGAGAAATCTTATAGTATCTGCGTCGTGGGGGGCGCTTTCTGGCCACACCGCTCGGGAAGCGATATACTACAAGATGGGTATACTATATGTTCGGGTCGGACGCGCGCCTCCAAGGAGGACATATAGTACTAGTATGTCTTTGTGCTTCCCATGTGAGGGCCGTCGATCAGGGGAGGAACAAGGACAGATGCCGCTGCCCTTGCCACGTTTTCTGCTTCGATGGCCCTCCTGTGAGGCTCTCGTCGCCACGGGTATGGAACCACCCTGGAATTCTGGTGAGAACGCACCCCGGGAGAGGCCCAGGGATTGTCAGTACAGTCGGGGCGCTGAAGAAGGAACCCTTCTCGTTGGGGGGGGGGGCTCCGTGTTCATTCATTGTTGCACAGTTTGCCTCGGGTTTTCCTTAAATTAACTTATGCAAGAAAAGAGGCTTCGTTCCTCATTTAGGGTTCTTTAGGTCAACGCCTCGACTGTACCGGTACCTTTTTGCCACCCCACCGTTGCGGGCCTCCTCCCTTCGATCGGAGAATCGCAATTTGTACAAATAACAATTATCGGATGTCCGTGCAGATTTTCATGGATCTGCGGAGACCTCCAAAAGTTTATCCGTTCTTTCTTCTTCAATCCTGCCCTCGAGGGCCGAGGTCACCGAGGGCCTTCGCGGAGGCCTCCAGAGGCCTTCGCGAGAGTTTCTATGAGGCTCCCGGAAGCCGCCGGAGAGTTCCGGATCACCAGCCTGGAGCAGATATCCCTATCCCCATGATTGGCATTACCTCGTCCCGATGCCGATCTCGAGGATGCCCTCCGTTCCTGAGGGCTCATCACTGAGCTCGGCATCGTGACGAGCGAACAACTCACACCCACACCCATAGGAGGGTCGAAAGGAGGGGAACTGGCTATGGGTATGGTTGCAAGTTGTCGGACCCTGGAGGAAGCTCCCGCTCGAGCGGGGACCCCCATCCGACAACACGCACCCATAGCCTCCTCCGTCCCCCCTATGGGTGTGGGTGCGTGCCGTTCGATCGTCACATCGCTCTTGGGCCTCTCACTCGCAGGGACAGGGATCTGCCCCAGGCCAACTGGAGCTCTATATGCAGAGACGCGGAGGCGTCCGCGGGGGGGCCTTTTTGGGGGACCGACGCCGAGGGAGCTCACGGCCGCCCACCGTGCAGCCGGGGCCATGCGGGGCCCCGCCCCCCTGGCCTGGCATCGCTCGGACGTGTGCTTTTTTTTCCTCGGCGAAAGCCGTGGGGGACCATCCTGGACCTGGAGGGTTTCTCCGAAGGGCTTAGGCGACCCCTCCTCCTCCTCCTCCTCCTCCTCCTCCTCCTCCTCCTCCTCCTCCTCCTCCTCCTCCTCCTCCTCCATCCCCTCCCCCTCCCCCTCCACCTCCTCCTCCTCGGGTCGCCTACGGCCCCGGGGGAAACCGTGCACCTGGTCCATCGAGAAAAGAAAAAAAAAAAAAACACGCACGACACCGAAACATGCACGGGACATGGACGTCCGAGCGATAGCGAGCTGGGCCCCGCCGGGCAGGCCCGGGGCACCGTGCCCCGGGCCACGGCACGGCCCTGGCGCCGGGCGCGGGGGCGGCGCGCGGGCGCCTCTCTGCGTGCAGGTGCCGCCTCGCTGGCGACCCGGGAGCTGGGCGAGGCCGAGGCCAGAAGTGCTGCGCGTCCACCGCCCAGGGAGCCGATGCCCAAGAGGAGAGAGCAGCCCCCGCGGGAGGCAGAGGGCGTGGGCGCACTCCGGGCCCCGGGGGCGGCCCAGCTGCACGCACGTGCGCACGTGCACCGGCTCCTCCTGGGCTCGTGGGGCGCCGGTTCCCGAGGCGGTGGGCGTGGGCAGAGTCTGGCCTCGGGTCGAGAGCGTCACGTGGGCCGAGCTGATTGCCCTCGGCTCCGGGAGCCCCAGCAGCGCCGCCCCGGAGACGATCTGGGAGGCCATCGTGCTTGCGGGCCTGCCCGCCGTGGGTGTCATAGGCACCGCTATCCAGCGGCCTGCGGCGAGCCCTGCAGCATCGGCGTACGTTCGGGAGGGAAAGAAACACACAGACACAATTAATCGCCAGTTACCCAGAAAATGTGGGAACATATGGGAAGTGAGGGGGAAGACAAAAACCCTGAAAATATGAGAAAACATGGGGGATCCTTTTATTTGTGTGTATCGATCTGTGTGTCCCAGAGCCCCTTCGTACGTGCAGGTTGGCCCTGCCGAGCTCTCCCAGCCAGGCTCTCGTAGGCTGCCCGCTCTGCGCGGCCTCGGCGGGCCCTCCCCCCGCTGCAGGACCGCGGCTCCGTGAGGCCGGGGCCCCGCGGGCCCGCCGCCGAGGCGCGATGGCTACACACACAGTTCTCCAGCAGAGGCTCGGCAGAGCCAGGCTGGGATTTTAGGGGCCAGCCAGACGCGTCTTGGAGCCGCTGTCTTTGGGGCGGTCTTGGGCCGTCTTGAGGAGCTTCTGAGGTCGTAATTCGGGCCCTCTATTGGCCGTCTTTGGGTGATTTAGGGCCCTCTATTTGCCGTCTTTGGGTCTTCCTGGCGCCTCTTTTTGTGGTCGACTTGGCCTCAGAGGGTATCTGAAGTAGTCCTGAAGCCATTGTTCGGCAGGAAGAAGTGGGAAGAAGTGAGAAGCACAGTCATTGGATCACGCTGGAATCTTTGATCTATCTATTGTCCCCGGGGGCCCTGCTGGAGAGATCCCTGGAGCTTGGGGCCTTTTGGAAGACTTTGAGCTGCCTGTGCCCGCTACTGGGACATCCTGCAGCCATCTTGTGGCAGTCTTGGACCGTCTTGGGGCCGTCGTCTTGTGGCTGACAGGGCGTCATGAGTGAAGCTGTACGGGGTGGAGGGTGGGGGGGGGGCTGATACGGGTCTGCCTGACAGGGCGTCATGAGTGAAGCTGTACGGGGTGGAGGGTGTGGGGGGGGGGGTGATACGGGTCTGCCGCGAGATTGGTTGCCAATGAGCAGTTCGTCGGCGCGGGGATGTTCATATGTGCATATCCTTTCTGCCGCTTTCCACGGCGAGCTTCTTGCTGTGATCGAGTTTGCGTGTGAGCAAGATTGAGTGCATGTGAGCGGCTGAGTACTAGTGGCTCTGCATATGAGCGAGTCTGAGTGAACACGACTGCTTATGAGCGCGTCTGAATATTATTTGGTCCGAAAACAATATGAGTACAACGAAGTGGGTCTTAATCTCATTGGTTTTGAGTATGCGATAGTCTGAGTGCGATCAGTGTGTATATGGCTTTGCTCGCGCGAGTGGTGGAACACTCGGATTCCCTCTGCGAAGCTGCAGGGCTGTCCTCTCTCTCTCTCTATTCTTCCTTCGTCCTTCGCAGACCATTGGGCTCGAGCTGGCGCTCTCTAGGCCTGGGCGCTACCCCCCGAATCCAGCCGCGATGGTTGCTGCACACAGCGCCGACCCGCGATGATCACGCTACTCGTCGCTGACCTTGCACCACCTTGGCCCGTGTGCTCTCCCTGGGCGACCAGGCGCTTCCCGCGCGGAGCGGCCCAGGTCCTGCCCCGGGAGCGCCTCCTGGGACGGAGGGGGCTCCGTGCAGCTGCGCGGCCGTGCGCAGCCCAGGCCCCGCGGCTCTTGCAGGTCCCCGGGAGGGTGGAGAGCCTCCCTGGGGCTCAGCCACGCGAAGGGGGGGGGGGGGGGGGGGGGGGCTTCGTAGAAGCACCCCTGCTTCTTAGAAGGCGCGGGCCTTATCTGCAGATGTAAGGCCGGCGCCTTCTAAGAAGCAGCCTGCTTCTAAGAAGCCCTCCCCCGTCCCCCCACCCCCCTGGTGCACGCCGCCAAGAGGGGCACCCGGGGACACGGCGGTCGGGGGGGCCCGGAAGACCTGCCCCCCGAGCTCGGGGGAGCTCTTGGCCGCACGTGCTCGGGGGCGCCATTTGCCTGGGCACGCTGGGCCGCCGAGCGCAGCGGGCACGCTGGGATTCCCACGCGCGGCCCCTTGGGCCGCGAGGGGCATGGGAGCCCACCCCTGGGACGCGTTCGGACTCTCGAAGCCTCCGCTTCGACGCCTGGAGGGAGAGAGTCCACCCGCGGCGAAAATGGATCATCTCCGCTCTCGCGGACCCCGTCGCCCTGGCGCCGGGAGGGAGGGTCTGCGCCTGCTCGGAGCCATCCGCTCGCACCTACTTGCTCGGAACCACGCGTGCGGCCAGGGCGTGGAGGACCACGGCGGCGCAGCTGACGAAGGCGACGCAGGTGAAGCGGGACCCCCCTCCGCTCAGGCGTGGACGCCGGGGGAAAGTGCAGGGGCTGGGTCGGCATCCGCCCAAGGGTCCTGCGGAGGAGACGTGCGTCGCGGACCTGGGCGGGGGCCCGGGGTAATCCACGAGCCAGCGGAGAGAGGCTCTGAGCCACCGGCTCGCAGCCTGGCAACCCTCAGGGGCAGCTTCGAAGCCGCCGCCCACTCCGCCAACGTTGTCCACCTGTACTGAGCGACGCGGGAGGGTCGCTGGATGCCCTCGGAGACTATGGGAGCCTGTTGTTTCTGTTTAGGGCCTGGCAACTTTACTTGCGTTGGCGGGGGGGCCTGAGCCCGAAGCAAGCAGCAATCGATTTGAACGCGCGGGAATCACTGAGGTCGAAAGGCCTTCGCGCGCATGCGTTCGTTTGAAGAGCGGCGATGGGGGGCCGCTGGGGGCGATCGCAAGTAAACATGTCGTTTTGTCGTGTGCGTGTGTATTCATACACACATATAACCGAATGCGGGCGATAATAAAGTCCCCTCTGTTACCCCCCTCTATTTATTGATCCCCGTTCAATAGGAGTTAATTGTGGAGATGGGCGCGGAGGCCGAACTCGATAATCCACGGGCGAGTGGTTCGAAGTCCAACGCGAGAGAGGTTTCTTGGCCAGAACGGCCAAGGACCTCTCTTGCGCTGGCAAGTTGTAGCCACGAGCATCGATTTCTCTCGAGTCAGTATTGTGCCGAGCGCTGGCAAGTTGTAGCCGTGAGCACCGAGATCTCTCGAGTCAGTCTTGTGCCGAACGCTGGCAAGTTGTAGCCACGAGCATCAAGATCTCTCGAGTCAGTCTTGTGCCGAAGGCCCAGGATCACCGTCATCATGATCGTCGTCATCAGCATCGCCATCATAATTTCAAACTGACATCACCTTCCCCGGAAAATCGTTGATTATCCCCGCCAGACCCCCGAACTTTATTATTTCGGGGGTATAATTATTTCCTGCGGTCGGTTATGTAATATACTTCTTTGTCGTACAACTATATGTATACATGTGTATATGCATGCATATGTGTGTGTATGTATATGCATGGGCATTCGTACATACATCTGTAGCAGGCTCCAGCGTCGACCGCCTGTGTTGTGCGACGCGGGAGGGTCGCCTGATGACCTTGGAGACCACGGGTGGCCTTGGGGAGGCCGCCAGGGGCTGTCCGCGACCACCAGAATCCAGCGCAAGAGTCAATATGGGTTCGAGTAAGGGTGGGTCTGAGCATGCGTGAGTCTGAGGTTGGGCAGTAGGTCTCAGTGTGAGTGCCCCCCTCCGTGTTGTGTACTGTGCGTCGCCTAGTACGATCTCGAGAGCACGCCTATGGTCAGTGGGGCGCCTGGACTCGCTGGAGTCGGCAGAATTTGCTTGTGTTGGTCGCATGTATAATCAGTGTTTGTTTGGGCCTTGGGGGACATTCGCATTCTGCACGCTCGATTCCTAAGCCACAGTTCACAGCATGAGTTTGTTTATCACAGGTCGGCTCGTGAGGAAACCCCGGATAGACAGGTAACCCTGTGTACCGCATTACCGTTGGTGCAGTACTTGTAAACAAGTGTGTCCGCGCTCTCACAGGGAGATCCTATTGTCTGCCTATGTGTATCTAATGGGGCAGGATTTGTCCGCCCGGGCCTTCGCCATCAGTAAGCAGCAATTGAATCGCGTTTTCACCATCGGAGCTTCGCTGCTGTTCTCCATTCCCATCTCTCCAGCACAATGTTGGTGAGTCTCAGTGTGAGTGAGGCCCTGCTTGTGAGTGAGTCTGAGCATGAGCGAGTCTGGGTATGAGCGGATCTGGGTATGAGTGAGCTGGGCACGCGTGCGTCTGAGCATGATGAGGTAATGATGGGAGCGAGTGAGGACAGCAAGGAGTGAGGCGGAGCCGTGACACACAACAAGAAAGCCGCACCAGGGTACGGGGAACCATAGAGACAAACCAGCTGCCAAGATGCACCTTACTGCGCCTCAGCGTGCCGTGGGCACGGCGGCGGGTCCTGGTAGTAGGCCTGGTGTCCAGCATAGGAATGCAGGCAATGGTGTGCCATACGATTGGTGCCGGCCTCATGCGCTCCACCGTGCTCATGCCGCCAGCTGCAGTGGCCGCGGCGACGGCCATGCCTCCCACAGAGGCTGGCAGGTTCGCCGTAGATGCGATCGCGCAGGGAGCCACATCAGTTATGGACACCGCCCTGGAGACCGTCGCCGACATCAG